AGGATTAAAGATGCTGGATTTCAGTTGATTTCAATGGGTAGACCCAGGCAAACTCAAAGAAAACAACGTGACTGAGATAAAATCAGACAGCTGAGATGTGCAAAAATGAGAAAAACTATACAATTTAAAAACCTTAAACCTCATCACTGTAAGCAAATACACACTGCCAGAGCAGGCAAGAAAAATGTCTGTGGTCTGTTTGTGTTTCACCTTTGTTGACATGATGCACTGAAGTAACATTAGATGTTTACTTTGACAATTTTACGAAGCCCATGTCAGCTTTAGTAGTGGCAGAGCATTATAATTACCAAATCCACAGAAAACTGATGGTTTTTATTTGTTTTTTGGCTTTGGATGGGTAGAAAATGACATGCTGTACTGGACACAATCTCACTTTTAAACGTCTATGGTTACAGTTTTTAACCACAACTGAGATTCAATTTCAACTACAAACCGAAGGCTAAAGGCAGGGGTGTCCAGTCTTTTTAACAAAGAACCAGAAGGTTTTCATTCCAGCAAAGCAGGAGTTCATCTGATCAGTTGTTGAGAACTGAAACCAACAGATTTAACCAGAGGAATCAGGTGCTCTTGCTTGTTTGGAATTAATACCTGCAACCACAACGATCCTTTGCAAACAGGATTGGACACACTTCAAACTGTGACTCAACAGTGTTCCTCAGATTTAACACTACTTCAAACTGTGACTCAACAGTGTTCCTCAGATTTAACGCTACTTTAAACTGACGCTCAACAGCGTTCCTCAGATTTAACACTACTTTAAACTGACGCTCAACAGCGTTCCTCAGATTTAACGCTACTTTAAACTGACGCTCAACAGCGTTCCTCAGATTTAACGCTACTTTAAACCCACACTCAACAGTGTTCCTCAGATTTAACGCTACTTTAAACTGACGCTCAACAGCGTTCCTCAGATTTAACGCTACTTTAAACTGACGCTCAACAGCGTTCCTCAGATTTAACGCTACTTTAAACTGACGCTCAACAGCGTTCCTCAGATTTAACACTACTTTAAACCCACACTCAACAGTGTTCCTCAGATTTAACACTACTTTAAACCGACGCTCAACAGCGTTCCTCAGATTTAACGCTACTTTAAACTGACACTCAACAGCGTTCCTCAGATTTAACGCTACTTTAAACTGACACTCAACAGCGTTCCTCAGATTTAACGCTACTTTAAACTGACACTCAACAGCGTTCCTCAGATTTAACACTACTTTAAACTGACACTCAACACTGTTCCTCAGATTTAACACAATTTTAAACTGACTCAACAGTGTTCCTCAGATTTAACACTACTTTAAATCCACACTCAACAGCGTTCCTCAGATTTAACGCTACTTTAAACCCACACTCAACAGTGTTCCTCAGATTTAACACTACTTTAAACCGACACTCAACAGCGTTCCTCAGATTTAACACTACTTTAAACTGACGCTCAACAGTGTTCCTCAGATTTAACACTACTTTAAACTGACTCAACAGCGTTCCTCAGATTTAACACTACTTTAAACTGACGCTCAACAGCGTTCCTCAGATTTAACACTACTTTAAACTGACACTCAACAGCGTTCCTCAGATTTAACACTACTTTAAACTGACGCTCAACAGTGTTCCTCAGATTTAACACAACTTTAAACTGACTCAACAGTGTTCCTCAGATTTAACACTACTTTAAATCCACACTCAACAGCGTTCCTCAGATTTAACGCTACTTTAAACCGACACTCAACAGCGTTCCTCAGATTTAACACTACTTTAAACCGACGCTCAACAGCGTTCCTCAGATTTAACGCTACTTTAAACTGACGCTCAACAGCGTTCCTCAGATTTAACGCTACTTTAAACTGACGCTCAACAGCGTTCCTCAGATTTAACGCTACTTTAAACTGACACTCAACAGCGTTCCTCAGATTTAACGCTACTTTAAACTGACGCTCAACAGCGTTCCTCAGATTTAACGCTACTTTAAACTGACGCTCAACAGCGTTCCTCAGATTTAACGCTACTTTAAACTGACACTCAACAGCGTTCGTCAGATTTAACACTACTTTAAACTGAGACTCAACAGCGTTCCTCAGATTTAACGCTACTTTAAACTGACACTCAACAGCGTTCGTCAGATTTAACACTACTTTAAACTGACGCTCAACAGCGTTCCTCAGATTTAACGCTACTTTAAACTGACACTCAACAGCGTTCGTCAGATTTAACACTACTTTAAACTGAGACTCAACAGCGTTCCTCAGATTTAACACTACTTTAAACTGACACTCAACAGCGTTCCTCAGATTTAACGCTACTTTAAACTGACACTCAACAGCGTTCCTCAGATTTAACACTACTTTAAACTGACACTCAACAGCGTTCCTCAGATTTAACAATACTTTTGACAGTTAATACATTTTTCCTCCTTAATATGACATATTTCCGAGTGAAACAGGCTGCTTGGACAGCAAAAAAATGTGGGCAAGGCGAAGCACCGGTTATCAGGTAAGCCTGTTAGCATCCGTGGCTTTTCTTACACTTTAACAGCAAAAGCAAGATAAAAAGACTAAAGGAAAGAAATAAGGCAGCTTAAATAAATCCTTGTACGAGTGCCCTTCAGTAAACGTTTGGAGGAATTTTCCTTGAGCTGATAAGATGTTTCTATACACCTCAGAATTAATTTTAGGTTACATCAGCAATGAAGAGGCCCATACAGGCCCAGGCCATAACACTCCCACCACCATGTTTTCCAGAGGAGGACCAGGTCCTTTCCACCTTTACACTTTGTTCTTCCCATAACTCTATTACAAGTTAATATTGGTATCATCTCTTTACAAGATATTTTTCAGAACTCTGTAAGCCTTTTAAGTTCTTTTAAGCAAACTGTAATCTGTTTTTTTGGCTTATTAGTGGTTTGCATCTTGCGGTGTAGCCTCTGTGTTTCTGTTCTAATGTTTGGCCGATGTCTCTTACTGTGGTATTCTTGTTTCTCTGTCTTATAATGGTTTCTTTCAATTTAACTTTCATGGCCTAACTTTGGTCCTAATGTTGACAAACAGCAAAATCAGACTCCAAAAATGACCAAAAGCCCAGTCAAACTCTGCTGCCATGGTGAAAAGTCCCTGTGCAATGTACAGGTCAACTGAGTGCTTGTGGTGCTACAGCTACAAGAGACATTGATCAAGCTGCTTCTGCTGACCTGTCTTAGAGGACATTAAAAACACAGTGTAAAGATCATACTGATGTTAAAATTAAACCCCAGCATGAAGCAGTAAACCATATCAAATTGACACATTTCCTGTTCACAAGCTGTTCTAAATCCGTTAAAACCTCAAACCCACAGCAGGTGTCACAGGTCAGTACACCTTATTTTTAACACATTTGCCCACATTTGTCCTTTCCAAACCCAATGTTGACCATCTGTGCAAACAGTAAAAATCACCAGTTTTCTTTCAAAACTCGAGAGCAGAGCACACTGACCAAATGTCCTGTAACAAAAACAACGTTCTGATGTTTGCAGTTTTTCCTTAGAGTGAAAAGAAAAGGAGCTGACCAGCCCAGTGACCCAGGAGGGAGAACATTCTAGAGATTAAACGAACACTGACTCACCAACCAAACTTTTCTATTTGTTTGCTCATTCATGTTTGTTTGGCCAAAGTGCTCTAGATTTAAAAAGGATGGTTCTTTAATGGTTCTTTAGTAAAAGAAATGGATTTAGAACTGAGTTCTATTTAGAATCATTTCATCCTTAAATGGTTCTCTGCATGTTGAAATGGTTCTTTGAATTGACAGAGAATGTGTTGTATATGAATTTATATAGAATCTTTTGAAAAATAGTTCTAAATAACAAAAAAATGGTTCTTGGTTGTTTCACTGTCAAGCTTGTAACAATAGAAACCTTTTTTGGTGCTGTGTTGAACCAGTTCTACGTAGAACCATATACTACACATTGTATCTCAATCCGAAGAACCGTTTGACCATGCAGAGAACCATTTAAGCATGCAAAGCGTTCTTTGAGTGTTCACAGTTCAGTATAGAACCACTGTCTTTACTAAAGAAGTGCTGAAGAACTATCTGTTCTAAGAGTGTATGGCTTTAAAAAATGACTCCACAATTCCAAACTGCACTCAGATTTATTCTGCTGAATGTTGATTTTATGATCATAAAACAATTAAACAGCATTAAAAACACAATATGGTAACTCATATAGAGAAGAGGGGGGTAAGAATTACCTCACAGACCACAGCAGAACACAATCATAAAAAAATATACATACAGTTATGATGATATATACAGATTATAGTTATAATCACATAGAGGTATTATCACACAAGCATTAATAAGATGCATTAATAAAAACAACAACAACAAAAAAAAAAACAACAGTTGGCTGCATCTAGTGGCCAAAGTAAGAAATTGCAGACTTAGGATGTTTATGTGAAAACTAGTCTTTGGCCGCCCTTGTGGCCCACTTAGTGAACTGCAATTAAACTGTACACTTTATTTTGCAACACACTATTCCACTTCTATGAATTAAGTCTCATGATATGAATTACAAGATTTGTATAGAATGTTTGTATTGAATAGTTCTCCTTCTAATCCACCATGGTCAGTCTTGGAATCGAATGGTGTTGAGCATTTTATGATGCTAAAATCCTCATTTAAAATGTCATTTATGTGTAACATTTTGTCTAGTATGTTAGGAATAATGTGCTGCTTGCTCAGAATTAGAGGGACTTGCTGATGCATTTCACACCCATGTGTAACGCATTTGTGGTTCATCAGTGCTACAAAAAATTCACCACAGCAGTGACATGTTCCCATGTGAAAAACTGCTGAACACCTTACTGACCACTTTAAGAACTCATATATATGTTGAGAACAAAGCTAAAAACTAACTCTAACTATGAGAACATTATAAAGAGTCTACTGAGTTGACAAGACAAATTCACATCCTATCAATATCAATCATTCAATAGTACAATTTCTATTAATTACCTGGTTAACTGATCTGATCTCACAGACACATAAGATGCTGTTAGGACATTAAGTGTACAAAAAACTGTAGAAGTCAAATTTTAGATGACTGAAGATTGTATTGACACATTTACATTTACATCATTTAGCAGACGCTCTTATCCAGAGCGACTTACAAAAAGCTGTTCACCTCAGACTTCTTGAGCTGTGTGTCTGTTTGGGGTGTCTGAGCTCTGTATCTGAGTCAGCTCTATGTCTGTTTTGTGCTCTGCACGTCTTTCTTTCCCGACCCTGAGGTCTTTTCTGTAGACCAACATACACAGCAGGGGGTCTGTGATCACTCTCAAACTCATCAGACAGAAAAACATCACCAACACAACTCTGTAACGCCACAGAAAAATACTTAAGATGATGAACGTCCCCTGCAGGATCACTGTGAAACTGACAAAAGCTAACACTGTACAACTCGGCTTCTTGGTTCTGTAACGGAAGTCGTTGATTTGAGGTGGAGCTCTACAAGTGACTATACATGATATCAGTGTTACTAAAAGAGTAACTAAAAGAAGAGGCAAACTCAAGATTGCTAAACCTACTGCACTGAACAGCTCACTAAGGAAGAAACAAATGAATGCAATGATGGAGGTGATGATGGAGCAAGAAGGAAAGAAAACATGAGCAGAGCAGTGTGGATGTCTCAGAGAGAAAGCGCCCTCTAGAGCCACCACTTGTTGTAGAAGAAACCCATAGATCATTGATCCTGACCATAAACAGGTTAACATCCAGCATGTCGTGCTCGTCTCAAAGCAGCTTTTATACTGCAACAACGCTGTCACTATGTATGGATTCAGAAGCAGCACCAGCACATCGGAAAGAAGAAGCATGATGACAAAGACTGAGATTCGGCCTCCACTCTTATGATGACCATACAGAACACGCAGAGCCCAAACTAGAGCTGGCAGACCTACACACTCTCCAACGATGAGGAAGACGGACAGTCTGATCTTATCAGCCAAAAGATCTTCTTGAAAATGATACCGTAGATATGAATTATGGGAGAATAACATATTTGCCATTGTCTTAATTGATTACTTCGTTGTTCTTTCCTGTAATGAAAATGACAGGTGAAGAATGATTTTTAGCAGTAATCCAGCTAACATGACGAGAACTGTGTCAGCGTTTGGCTACTTACTGAAATGATGGCCTGACTGTAGAAACGAGAACGGCTACCACAGTAAATACACACAACCAGCTGAGTTCACCAAAAAAAGAGTCTGAAAACAGCAATAATGACAGTATGACAGCTACTGTATCAACATGTTTATATAAAATTAAATGTGTGTGATTTGTGTTCTTACCTTTATTATTCAGCAATAAAATTATCTGAAAGTGCAGCAGAGAAAACCATCACACCCTCTCTCTTTCACAGTGTCACCCAAATGACAAGAAAACCAGGAACTGAGTCGACGCAGTAAAGCAGCTTATGATGAAAACTCTATAAGACAAAATCTGTGTTGTGACTCGGTTCATGATTGTTGTCCATCTCTTTGTATTGAGTTTACGAGTAAATGAGTGCTTATCTGAAGCACCAGCTCCATAAATTATAGTATCTTTTTTTAGTTATTCTACCAACACGTTAAGTAGCATTTCAGAACATAATAAATGAGACAAAAGTCAATGAACCGTCTAAAGAACAAGGAAATGAAAATACAACTATGGTCACAGAAATGCTGATATAGCCTTAAAGGTTGGGGGTGTTCAGACAACAACTTTCGTGCTTGAAAAGAAGTAGGATGCACTTCTTAGAAGACTAACGCACTTGTTTAAGTTAGAAAATGTGAACATAAAACACCGAGACGAGGGACAAAAATTTGGAAACTATATAGTAATAAATAGAACAAAACACAGAAAAAGCAAGAACAAAATTAATTGTGTTTGAAACAGCCAAATGGTCACCACTTGGAACATTCCCATAGTGTTATACACGTTATGCTGTACAACATGTCAAACCTCAGGTTTGAACACAAACAGTAGAAAATGTTCTGACCACTTTCCCTCCCTATAGGTGCTTTGAACAGTGAACCAAATGCATGAAGATAGAATTTATTCAAGCTTTTCATGTCAGTACTGAAAAAGCCTGGGCCCCTAACCACATCCTCAGATGTGGCTTTTGGGTCAACTGCCAGTTCCTTTTGACACCCTGGTGTTCTTTCCCTTAAGAACATGTGTGACGGCTACTGTAGCCATGGCCTAGCTACCGCAAACTCCTGCAGCCATTAAATGTGCCAAGCAAAGTGGCAGGTCCAGTGGCTGCTACCAAAAACCTACACCTACTCCCAAATCTAACCCTCTTCATAATGTTATTGAATCAGCTATCACCAGGAGTGTGTTAATAAAGTATCTGTAGATCATCTACAGGAGACCTTCAAAATAAAGTTTGACCACTACATCAACTTCTGCCAGCTGTGTGTCTGCATCACTTTTGAAGTGAAAGCCCACACGCAGAGATCTATGTTCACGACTCCCAAACTGCATAACTGAAAACCCCTAAGAGTCCTGGTACTGTAGTGATAATTTACTTGAGTACAAATAAATGTATTAATAAAGGATTTTTTAAAAATAAGAGTAAATTAGTAGTTTATTGGAAAACTATTTGAGTAATTGATTTCGTTGTTTTGTATGTCTGCAGTCACAGTCTGAAAATATTTAGTTGATTTGGCTACAGTACTGGAAATAAAAACAAAACGAAAACCAAACCTGATATTACATGAGAAAAAACACTGAGTGCTGAGACTGATCACAGTGTGCTCTGCTAGAGCTCATTTACATATCTGAACTGTGAGCTCTGCAAGAAACAAAAGGCTTTCTAGATTCCAACAAAGACGTTCAGAATCCCTGAAAGGCAGTGCAGGGTTTGATACTGTTTTTAAAAAAACATACCTTCCTGATTAAGAGTCAAAATTATGTGTAAATTACTCAATTAATAATGTATTTTTATTATATTATTATTTGAGTAATCTACTCAGCTTTGTGGAGTTTTTATTACTCCATTTCTCAATAGTAGCCCTTACAGTTGACCAGGGCAGACCTAGCAGAGCTGACATTTCACAAACAAAGCTGTGGCATTCTTTAACAGTGCCATGTTTAAAGTCACACAGCTCTTCAATGCGGCCCATTCTACCAACAGAGTCTGGCTGCAGACATGCACTCTCAGCCAGATGCACTCTCAGCCCCAGTGAAGTCACATGCACATGCACTCTCTGCCACAAAGGCAGAAGCAGCCTATCGGCACGGTAACTTTTGGGTAACTTAGCGATTTTATCACTTAATCCATTTTTCGCCCATAACACAGCTAGATGATTACATTTAATGCACCTCCCTGTTGAAAAAAAATCACAGAACCTATTAAAAGTGTCTGTTGGTTCCTGGTGGGTTTCAGTAGTCGCTAATGGTATTCTATGTTTTCCTGATGGGTTGATATCACAGTGTAAAGGATTCTGATCGTTTAATCAGGTCTTCTGGGACTGATTCCAGGTAGATTTGATCGTTTCCTAATGGCCTCTATCGGCAACCATCACGCTAATTCCCGTTAGGAAGCAAAACCATCAGGTTTTATTCCTAACGGCTCTGCAAACACAGTTACATTGCCACAACATACTGTTTTGGTGCCCACAACATTGCCCGCTTGGTGCTCTCTACATTGTCACAACGCTGAAATGTTATTCCTCAGAATTATGACAATGTTGTTGGACAACTTTCTAGGAGGTTGTGACGACGTTGACGAGACAGCAAAAGTAATCGGTACTATGTTGACTGTATGTTGTCTCAGCCTCCTAGAATCCTTAATGAGTTCTATTTTAATCAATATTACAGTTTTTGATAACTGGTTCTAATCGTCTTCAGCATGGCTTTCATGAGTTTTGGCGGTAGCATTTCTGTTTTTTCTGCCGACATTCATGTCTTATCATTGTAGTAGGTTTTATTCTGAAAGTTTCCATATTTAATTATCTTATTATCAGTATGACAATGTTAATATACATTCAGTGTAGCTTTTGTTGCCCAGCAGTACGTGGTTCACTGTTTTCCTCATAAAACTGACAGAAACACTGTTGTGGCAGAGCGTGCACTGACGTCATCAATAGGCTGGCGGTGCATGTCAGGCTGAGAGTGCATGTCTGCAGACAGACCCTTCTCCATTCTACTGCCAACTTTTGTCTGAGCAGACTGCATGACTATGTGCTTGATGTTATACATCTGTTAGCAATGAGTGCAGCTAAAAAACATGAACTAGGATGGCTGTCCACATACTTTTGTAAAAAAGTCATGTTTTTGTAAACAAATATGATTTTAATATGAAATAAACAATGTAAAAAGATATATAGCATAAAACAATGTTTCCCAAACTGGTCCTCAAGGCCCCTCAGACGGTCCACATGTTTGCTCCGACTTAACTATATCATAATAAAAGGTATTGAATTCTCTACCCTACATGACTTTCAGGCTGGACACTGTAATGGCCTGTGACCAGTCTGAGCAGCACATTCAAGCAAGTTTTATTTTTTTTGTTATACACATCCATATCTAAAAAAGTTAGGACAGTAGGTAAAATGCAGAAGCAGTGAATTATAAATCTACTTTGACCTGTAAAAAACAGTACAAAATCGAGTTCTTTAAGGTTTAACCTTATGATCTTCTTTGTTTTTTGTAAATGTCTGCTCATTCAGAAATTGATACATGATACACAGAAACATGTTCCAAAAAGTTGGGACAGGAGCAAACTAAGGCTACGTTTACACAGCAGGTAAAAGTGGCCCAAATCTGATTTTCTCACCAAATCCGATGTTTTTCTTTGGCTGTTCACACTGTCTTTTAAATGTGACCTGTATGCGACATCAGTCTGAACAGATCTCGTTCCGAAACCAAACCGCACGCGCAAAAGAACAATACTTCACGAGGCGGAGGTAAACAGTCATGACGGCCAGTGAACGCTGGTCGCTCCTGGAGCTTCAGTTTCGTCTTCACCAGCATCACAGGAGCGATTATGAAGTTCCAGTGGTTGACAGCTGGACTCATCACCCAGACTGTGTTCGTGTTTGCCGTAAAAAGGGCACGTTATTCTGCCACGGCCGCTTCTTTGGTTCGTGTCCTCAGATTCTTTAAACGCTGCAGCCTCGGGCTCCTCCGGCCGAAATGATGACGAATGTCGAGTTGTACTGACGTAAAAGTCGCATGAATTCCGATCTGCCTGTTCAGACGGAGTCGCATTGCCGCAGATCGGATACGGATCGGATTTCAGTACCACATATGAAAGCGTCTCAAATCGGAATTGAAAATGTCAGATTCAATGCGTTTTTTGCTGTTCACACTGACACACAGACGACTCATCTGTGTCACATTTGAGGAAAAAGATCGGATTTGGGCCACTTTTACCTGCTGTGTAAACATAGCCTAAGACTAGGAACTCAGTGAGATGTTTAAAAATAATCTCAAACAGGTGATGCAGTCATGTTGTGGGTATAAAAGGAGCTTTCAGGAAAAGTGTAATTCAGAGGTCACTAATAGGTGGACCGCGGTCTGAGTCCGGACCCAGACGCTGCCCTATGCGGACCTGGACCTATAAAAGATAAACTATGGAGAATTATTTGATTTTGACCAGGTGGTCCTATTTTAATCGGCGTAACTTTTCTAGCCTTTGCGGTAGCTTTAACGGCCCGGGAGACTCACAGACCAATCACATGCGTTGTAAATATCACACGTGACGCTACTCAGCCAATCAGATCTGTGCATTACGATTAGCACTGAAAGTGAGTGACGCATACACAGGGGAGGGACGAGGCAAGAAACAGCAGTTGGAGAAGAGAGTGAGTCAGTTGTTTCACATGACGTGCTCTAAAAAGAGAAAACTGACAATAAATGTTGTTGAAATATCACTGAATTGTACTTTATTTGATTTGACATTCAGTTGTTGACCACATAAGATGTTGATATACCTACTAGGCTACTTCAGTAAACAGTGTATGGCACTGAATCATGATGCAAGTTAGACATTATGATGTTCTGGACCTTGGCTTGGGGATATTTTCTCTAACTGGACCTTACTGAATTTTAATTAAAGACCCCTGGTCTAGTTCTTTTTGAATGACGATGAGTCGAGGCTCATCAAAAAAAGGCATGAGGAAAAAATTAAACACCTTAAAAAGAATATATTTTATCCTACATAGAGGCCAATAACAGAGAGATTTGTTGGCATTCCCGGAATCTTTTATGTGTAAAACACAAGGCGAAACCCACAAATTAATGCCCATGACCTTTGACCCCTCCGACAGGCATATTGCATTAAAAACCTGTGTGCTTCTCTGATAGATATCACCACATAGGCTTAGGAATACTTTGACAAATTGGTGTCAACAAACACCATCCACAGCTG